AGGAGTTGATACAAAACTTACACATTTTACTATGATGGATTACTGTGTTATTATGATTGGAGATGATGATTTTAAAGTAACAAAGAATTATATTAACTTGATTTATTATATTCGAAACATTTTACAACAAATGAAACATACAAATATTATTCTCTGTCTTCCTACATATAAATATGGTTATCACACGAATATGTTCAACTGGAGAGTGGAAAATTTTAATAATCTATTATACTTGGATGTGGCTACTCATAAGCATGCCTATATATTAGATTCGAACAAAAGACTTTCTTATGGCTATAAAATGTTTTGGAAGCATTCAGGCAATGTTAATGACTATGGTATGAAGATAATATTTAAGGATCTTCAGAAACTCATCCTTGACATACAATATAATAACAATAAGAATGACATAAAATGTAATGATAATGATAATATACACAAATATATAAATACAACAAATGACGAATCTATATTTTTTCGACACTAAACATATACACATTTTACATCAAAACATTGCAGGACTACCGAGTAAATCAGACTCACTAATGATAAATATAGAAGAACTAAGAGACAAAAATATTAAAGTAGACGTACTCTGTATAACAGAACATTTTATGATGAAAGAACATGAAATGCTTTTAAACATACCAAATTATACATTGGCCGCTTGTTTCAGCAGAAGTGACAGCAAAAGAGGAGGAGCATGTATTCTAGTAAACAATGAATATAAATGGTCAGAATTGACTAAATTTCACAAATTTTCCATAAAAAATATATTTGAATGTTGTGCTGTCGAATTAATTGATTATAAAATTATTATAATATGTATTTATAGAGTTCCAAAATGTAATAATCTTAATATATTTTTTAGTAGATTGGAAGAAATATTAATGTATTCTTCTAAATTGAAATGTAACAATGTATTATTGGCTGGTGACTTCAACATAGATATGTTAAAACATAATAGAATCGCATTGAATCTAGAATGCTTATTGTTAAATTACAACCTAAAACTGGCTTTGAAGCAACCGACAAGATTAGCAAGCGGTACATGTATAGATAATTTTGCTCATACTTATAAAAAAATATGTAGGACTGATGTATTAGAATTTGGTCTATCAGATCATACGGCTCAGTTAATAAAACTTCCTGTCAAAAAGATTTTAAAAATAAATTCTTGGCATAAAACAATTCGAGATTATAGCAAACGCAATATACTCAAATTTAAAGAATGTTTAGAGACACTTTCCTTCTCTGAACTCTACGAAATAGATGATCCAACGAGTGCCTATCAACATTTCATTGACAACTTTAAAATGTTTTATGAATTATGTTTTCCTAAAAAATATATTACCATACAAACATATCGCAAGTCAAAGTGGATATCCCGCGGTCTAAAAATTTGTAGTAAACAGAAAAGACATTTATTATGGAAATACAGACTAAATTCGACTAACCATAATAAATTAAAATATCAAATTTATTCTAAAGTATTCAAAAAGATTATTAAACTAACCAAACGTGCACAAAACAACTATGACATAAAAACATCAGATAATAAAGCTAAAACAACATGGAAAATTATTAACAATTCTAAATTCAATATACCTAAAGATTTTATCCGGACAATAAAAATAAACAATGAATACGTTAGTAACCCTAAAAATATAGCAAATCATTTCAACAATTACTTTATCGACAGAATTAATCGTACGACTAACTGTGGAAAAAATATAACTGCAAAGCTCCATCATAGAACACATTCTATGTTTATGGCCCCAAGTACACCCCAAGATATAAAAAAAATCATAAGAAACTTAAAAAATACAAACAGTGTTGGATATGATGGTTTTTTAACTAAAATTATTAAAGAGGTAAATGAACATATATGCGCTCATTTAAGCTATATTATAAATTTAAGTATACAGACAGGCATTTTCCCCCAGCAACTAAAAAAGACCATAGTTAAACCTCTTTACAAAAGGGATGATAAAGAGGTAATGGAATCTTATAGACCCATAGCACTGATATCTATATTTTCAAAAATATTTGAAAAATACCTATATACTGAAATTAATGCCTACTTAGAGAAAAATAACATTATCTGTAATGAACAAAAGGGTTTTCGAAAAAATAAAACTATAAATATGGCGATTTATGATTTTTTTTGGAAAAAGTTATGTCCGAAATTGATAAAACCTCACCTGTTTGTTCTATATATTGCGATATGACACAAGCATTTGATCATGTAGACCACAGCATCCTAATACGTAAACTCTAGGCATATGGGATAAGGGGTAATATCCTTAATTTGATAAAATCATATTTATCAGGTCGACAACAAATTACAGAAGTGACAAGATTAAATTGGAAAACAAAAAAGCAACAAACGTTTACATCAAAACAGCGCACTGTAACATTTGGTGTACCCCAAGGTAGTGTGCTGGGTCCCCTTCTTTTCCTAATATATATTAATGACTTGCCTAACTTTGTTGACCAACCTATGACGTTATTCGCTGACGATAGTACAGTTACTGTAAATTGTAATGATATTAATTTATATGAATATATTATAAATAAATCTCTGACATCAATAATTGCTTGGTTAAAAAATAATAATTTGGTAATTAATTTAAAAAAGACTAATATTATGCACTTTAATCAAAGAACACAATCTAAATCTAATATTAAAATAATATATGAAAATAATATTATAAATGAAGTTGACACGGCTAAATTTCTCGGTCTAAATATTGACAAAAAACTAAACTGGAAAACTCATATAGACGAAATAAACAAAAAAATATCTAGCCTGGCATATCTACTCTACAAGCTGTCTAGGACCGTAAACAATAACGTGCTACTTACAGCTTATCATGGTTTAGTAGAATCGATATTAAGATATGGCATTATTTTCTGGGGTAATTCAACAAATAAAGATATGGCTTTTAAGATGCAAAAAAGATGTATAAGATCCATGTTTGGATTGAATGTCACAGATAGCTGTAAGCCATTATTTACTAAACATAATATCCTCACTCTTCCGTCCTTATATATATTTGAAATGGCCTTATTTGTGAAGTTAAATCCAATCTTATTTCCACGTCTATCTGATAAAAATTATCGAAATAGACGTAATAAAAATCTATTATGTATACATCCAGCCAAAACCACTTTATTGCAAAAAAGCATTATATGTATGGCCCCAAAAATTTATAATAAAATTCCAGATGTATATAAAAATTTAAACACAAACTTATTCCGGAAAAAACTGAAAATGCTACTGATTGACAAATGTTATTATAATATTGACGAATTTTTAAATGACAACCTTTAATATGTTTCTCTTTCGACATTTGCTATTGACATTGTAATTCCATTTGACTTTTTATTTAGTTTATATATAATCTTCACAAAATATTAATATGTTTTGTAAGGCATGGATAGATAGGGGGCATGGATTTGCTTTGTAAGGCACTTGAAATTGCCACTGTCCTTGAAATAATATTTTGCACGCTAATGTTAGCAAAACATGTTAGGACTATACAAATCCTACAATGAACAACAAGTATGTCTTTGCACTTACTATGTACACATGTTTGCAAATAAATTTATCTTTATCTTTATCTTTATCTTTATCTTTATCTTTATCTTTATCTTTATCTTTATCTTTATCTTTATCTTTATCTTTATCTTTATCTTTATCTTTATCTTTATCTTTATCTTTATCTTTATCTTTATCTTTATCTTTATCTTTATCTTTATCTTTATCTTTATCTTTATCTTTATCTTTATCTTTATCTTTATCTTTATCTTTATCTTTATCTTTATCTTTATCTTTATCTTTATCTTTATCTTTATCTTTATCTTTATCTTTATCTTTATATTTATCTTTATCTTTATCTTTATCTTTATCTTTATCTTTATCTTTATCTTTATCTTTATCTTTATCTTTATCTTTATCATCGATCACCCTTCACTGGTGCTCCGCCAGCGTATCCCGTTAGCGCAGGCGAGGTTACCATACCATTTTCACCCATATTACCCATTAACTACTAGATTGCAGGACCATAATAATATATGCATGACTACCTTCAGCCACTCACCATACTTACAAACCTCTAATCCTTTAAATTTGACTCCCATATTATAATGGCTAAATCAAATAATTTAAAATTATAATTCACACACAAAAAAATAGACAAACCGAGTAATTTTGATTTAAAAACTAAACTACTATTTTGGTTACGATAAAATGCATATCTATAAGTATATTACCAGAGGGAGACTTTGTATAAAAGTCGTTTGCTTGGCTACCTCTGTCCCATTCGTGTTTCAACCGTGAAGCAGTTGTGTTTGCATAGCTGTGTTTCGGTTTGAAGGGTGGGATATGGCAGTGAATTTACAGGGTACAGAGGAATAACACCTGAATCCTCAGGAATGCCAACGCATGGGAAGTATCATGGGCGAAACAGTATACTCTGTTATGTCCATGGTACTGCTCATGTCTATAGGCGACGGTTACCACTTTCCATCAGGTGGGCCGTCAGCTTGTTTGCCATTCTAAGTAGCATAAAAAGAAATTTGGGATTTTTGTTTTTTAACATGTCAATCCCATAAAATCTAAACAAGTTATCTACTATTATAATTATGACTAAACAATACTACTTACTAATTCACTTAAGCACAAAGCAATATTGGTAGTAGGAGCATACATTATGCTCTGAACAATCCCCACATCAAATTTATTAATATGAAGTGTTTTTAAAAATGTTTCCCTTTCCCTTCGGTTGCTATCACATTCCATCAATACGTGCTGTACATCTTCAACTTTTCCACAGACAATGCAATTTGGTGAAATTTCTTTTTTCATTAAATATGCAAACTTTCTTGATGAACTTCTTATTCGGTCTTAAAATCTCAGATGCTTGGAGAAATTAGTGAAAATATCTAACCTCTTTTTCTTGAAATCGGTTGAGAATATTGACACTTTGTTACAGAGTAGCGACATGTGCAACTCCGCGATCTACCGACACTGCGGCGACAGTCGACACGACACTCCACACTGGAGATGAGAGCCAGCGACAAGCCATAGTCACTATTTAGAGTTTACAAACACCTTCTTTCCCTATCACAAATTACCATATATTTTTTTTAAATGGATTATAATGGAATGATAACCCCACCCGCGCTATCGGTATACACCGGCGGGGCACCAGTGAAGAATGATAGGTGAGGATGAAGCAGGTCAGTTAGCCCATCGTGACGAATTCAACAAGAATTGTTCACGATGGTTTCCAGGGGGAACCACGTGGAGGTCGACGTAATAAGGCATATTGCTAGCGATGGGGCTGTCAAACTCCATTGCTAACAATCCTTTTCCCCTAAATTACCATATTATTACTTTTTTTTTCCTATTAGTCACTAACTAAAGTGAAATATGTCCACTTTAGTTACTGATAAATGTCAAAATTATTTGTTACTTAAGCTAAATATAAAAAAGTAACGCCCTCCCAGATGCAATATATTCTTGTTTTGTTATCGGTGAAAAGAGTTTAAAAAAAAGTTGATCTCAAAATTTTATACTCTTATTGGATCTCTAAAATTGATAATGTCACGATTAGTTAAGTTACTTTAAATAACAGGAAAGATATTCAAGTAAGAGCTGTTTGTTAGAATCATAGATATTATAGTATGTAACAGATAACAGAGGAAGACCGAGGAATAACTACATAGGACAAAATAAAAGAAACACTAGGTGTCATGTCGTATAGGGAGATCAAGGATATGGCCTGGAATAGAGCTGGCTGGAAGAAGATGCATGAATTAGTTGCACCGACAAGAGGAAACTCTTAAATGAAAAAAAAACATAACATATAGTATGGATAACATATAGATGGAGTTTCATGTCAAAACAAAACATCTAACTACTGACAGGCGCGTATTTTTGTTCAAAATTAATTTATGTATTTTCCGAATTGAAGTGTCAAATCTTAAAATCATTAAACGAAATTTCTAATGTAAGTAGTATATTAATTTATTTTAACATTTATTATATAAGTAGGTAGGTATTATATGTATTTATAGTGTATGTATTTATGTAATATTTTATTATATATTTTAATATTTTATTTAACTGTATATTTGTTTATGTATTAATAGTTGTAGCACTTCAGCTGCTCGCTAACGAAATGCTTTCTTACTGTACTGGGTTGACTGGAAGAGATCTCTGTCAGAGATAAGTCCACCCTTGCTCACAACATTTATAAATAGATTATTTTATATGTAACTTACAAGTGCAATAAAGAATGTACATATATATATAAAATTACGATTTTTAAACAAATGAAAATTTTAAACGAATAGTGCACCAATTTTCAGTTTTACGAATAATAACTGTAATATTTTGGTGCCTATATTCAAATATACAGTCTTTCGTGTCTCCAATTACTGTCACATAAAAATAAAAAAAGATTGCATGTCTTTGACGAAGTGTTTATATACATAAATATATACTCCATCTAAACATTATTAGATAGAACGTAGCTCTCGCGTTATTTAATTAAATGTACATTTATCTGTATAAATTCATTATAAAACATAAAAATAAAAATGGTAAGTGACTACCGCCGCCCATGATCACCACAACACCAGCGGCATTGCAGGTGTGCTGCCGGCCTTTTAAAAAGGAATATACTCTTTTCTTGAAGGTTATGTAGTCGTATCGGTTCGGAAATACTGCTGCTGGAATTTGATTCCAAAGAATGGTTGTGCGTGGAAGAAAGTGTCTTGAGAAACGCACAGTGGGTGACCGCCACTCGTCCAGATGATTGAGATGAAACTTTAGTTTGTAGCGGGTTGTACGGTGGTGTTTGATGCGTCAACTGATCAAAACTATTATCATCTAATAGTACTTTTGAGTGGTTCGTGGTTTTGACTATTGTAACTTAATGTCATAAGAATAAGTCTCAAATTAATAATTAGATATTTTCCATACAGTTACACTTAGGACTCTATAACTATACTGTATTACCTAGTCATTATTCTTTATAATAATCTCAAAGAATATATGCTATAATTAACAAAAAGTAACAAACAAAGTTATGTACCTACAGAATGATGTCAAAATCATTATTAGCATGCTTTCAAAAGTGTTCTATATTTAAATTAAAAAAATTTACCCCAAAGAACACAGGTCGAAAGACGACAAAAAATCGGAGCTACCCTACTCAAAACTTTTTGACGTTTTTCGACGCATGTTTGCTTGGGAGAAGTGTTCAGTTACACTGGTAGAGCGCCACTTTCAAAGGAAGTTAATGAGCTAGATTCCTTTATGTAAATATATATAGAGCATTTTTTTTTTATAATTTATATATTTTTTTTGTGTTACTGTGACAGACACACTTCGTTTTTTTATGTATTTTTTATTTTCATATTTTCTTTTTTTTTTTTTTTAATGTTTATGTTCTCCTTTTTTGTTAATATTTATATGTGTTTATCGTTATTTGGGGAAACGAGGGTATCCGCAAAAGAACCAAAGTAACCGACATAGCTCCAAAGATAAGCAAGCTGAAGTGGCAATGGGCTGGTCACATAGCTCGAAGAACCGACAACCGATGGGGACTTATCCCATAAAGGGATCTCTTACAGTCAACCTTTGAGAAGCTGAAAGAAAACTGTAGAATGTATAAGGTATTAATGTATCTTAATGATAACTTTTTAAATTAACTATATAATATGCGTCAAAAATATCTCATTTGTTACAGAGGTATTTGTTGTTCAGAATAATTTAAATATCAACCTACAGACGATATGTTTCATTACATCTATTCAGAAAGTTAATAACTCGTATTAATACTTTACTAATTGTTACAATAATAACCTAATACAATCAACTAATTAACTGAAAAAGCAGGTTATATCCTTTGGGAGAAAAACTGTATGGAAAACCACATTCGGTTTTCGTACATTTTTTGTATTGTAACACATAATAATTGTAGTAATTTCATATAGGCATTTAGGTAAAGACCCTTCCATATTCTCTGGAATGAACATATTCAACTATAGTTCATATTTATATTTATTTATCTTATTTTATTTCTTATTTGCATAAAGGGTTAGCTAAACCGTTGCACGTCGACCCCATGGAATCTTTTGTGCTTCCCCCTGCCTTATAAAATCATTTCATACATTCTATATATTACCTTTGCAATATTTCGCGGTTTAAAATATCTATAGTCCCTTAGTGTTGGATAAGCCGTTCCTAGTAGACTCGTACGCATATTTGCCAAGGAATCACAATTGCACATCAGATGTTTCATGGATTCCATTTCCTCACCACACAATATACATTGTGAATCCAAAGACAAACTCATCTTGTATAGTATAAGCCTTACCGGCATATGTTCAGTTAAGGCACCAATTATGAGTCATACCTGTTGTCTGCCTCAATTATAGATGTGTTTACCTCATCTTTAGACGTTGTTGTTTAAGAATTATAACTTGTAGTATTTCGTAAAGACCTATCCATATTGTCTGGAAAGAACATATTCAACTATGTTTCATCTTTTAAGAATTGTACTAGATAGGTGTATTTATTTAGTTGTAAGTACATCGACAGCCAGTATCTAGACATATATCAATTTTATAATTAAAATAATTTAGATAAACTATGTTTAAAGTTTTAATCGCAGATAGGTCTATTATATTAAGTAGTAACCTACCTTCTTTATCTAAGATTTTGATATACCTACATTTTGTAGGTATATCAAAATCTTAGTATTTTGTATGAAAATTTGTATAAAATATTTAGTTATCTGTAAAAAAAAAGTTAAAAAATAGTTAATATTATCATAATACCTATAATTTAAATCACATAAGTGATTTTTCTGTTGACTTATTTCACAGGGAATTGTAGTATAAATAAAAAATTATGAATGCGATTTTAAGCGAGTAAACACGATTCGTTACCACTAGCTATGGCGGGTTATATGGCGGAGATAAGGAGAACCATCTCATATGGTGAAACAGTAGCAAAAGCTTCCAATTGTGAGCTGTAAATAACTTTCAAATCCTTTCAGAAAGGAAAAAGAGATTATGAAATGAATGTAGCAGTTTTTATTAAAGTACGCTGACTTAAAAAATTTAGTAACTCCATTTTCTATTTAATTTATAATTAAAATTTAACAATGTTATTTAACATAATCTTAATTATATATTATATCATTGTTTTCTATTTAGATTTTTTTTTTAATAAAAGGTCGATGTTTTGATTTCCTAGTTCACTTCCTTTAAAACTCACCTGCTACTGCAGCGCCACCCTAACTAAACGCATTTTAACGTACACCTATTTATATATAGAGACGGTTCTTTACCTCTGCCCTCTACAGCACTAGCAATCTGTCAAATGTCTGTTCATTATAATCAATCTGTGTATTAATGAACAAATATGTATTTTGTTGTATGTTGTATTTTAATAATTGTAATTATTATTCGAGATTTTTTTTTTGTTTTTTGTTTATTCTAACCATAATTTTTTTTAATAAATTGGACATTATTTACATGTTATCTAGTTTTACTGAAAGACCCTATATATCAAAGATTTTTTTTAAAATTCCCATTCAAATATCAGAATGTAAAAAAAAAAGTATATTTAACCCTTAAATACCTGAAGTTTCAAATTTGATACCGGAGTTAGAAATCGCATTGGGCGCCTACAATCGATTTTATTTTAATATTTGGCTATTTACATGTTCCAAATGTTTCTTTTCAAAATAAATATATAAAAATTTATTTATAAATATTTGATTTTTTTTCTATTTTTCACCCCTTTAGTAAACACAATAAATGGTACACTTATATATATTTTTAATTTGATTTAAAAAATCAGGCTTTTAAGGGCTAACGTAAGATACCGGACGCGACCACTCCCCCGGCCCTGAGAAGAGCAGCACACATCGAGCGGTGGCAGGCGGCTGAACGGTTTGTTATTGATTACCACACTAGTTCATTACGGGCGTGCATCTAAACAGAGCAATTTGCTTCCGTCAGCCTTCGTGATTAATGTCCCGGTCCCGGAGAGGCTGAGGTGTTGCCAGATCCGTTGACATATTGTACAACAACGACGTTAAATTTGTTACACTCCCCATAATTACCCTCTACAAACGCATTTTGCTCCATAAAAGAAATAAACAAACCCATAAACAACAAAATGTGTGGCAACACATAAGATTCAAAATATTTTAATTTATAATTTACCGTGAAGCAGTTGTTTTCGCGTGGCTGTGTTTTAGGTTGAAGTATTATGGCGTGAATTTACAGGTTACAGAGGCATAACACCTGAGTCTTCAGGAATGGCAACGCATGGGGGGTATCATGGGCGAAACAGTATACTCTGTTATGTCCACGGTGCTAGATTATCACTTTCCATCAGATGGGCTGTCATCTTCTCTGCCACTCTGTTTCATAAAAAAAAATCAAATCGTGTGTTAGAATTTACATAACAATTCACAAGAAGCAAGATTTTCATCAGCATAAAAAATAACAGCTTCAATTAATACAAAATTGATACGATGAGACGTGACACAGAGGAAATCCAATAAATTGAAAAAAAAATTATTATTATCACATTGGCTATAGTGTGATTCCGGCATAAAATATACCATCCCTTCCTTTTCCATGGATGTCATAAGAAGGGATTAAGGAGGGCAAGGAATGGGCAGCAGCGTCCCTCTTAAAACATCACCAAGGCCTATTTCGGTAACAACTAACTGCGGTTGCCAACCCGCCTACAAAATGTGGCCACTGTTGGTAAAACTCCCATTATGGGCAAGTCCTATGTTCAGCAGTAGACAGTGAATGACTGGTATAATAATAAAAAAAATATATAACTTACAAGCTACTTACTCCTTTAAAATGATACTAGCATAAAAACAAATGAAAAGTGAATGGAACAAACATGTATATAAATTTAAAATTAAATAACTCAAGATTATATACCACAAAAACCAACTCAAATTGTGTATATAGTAATATATAAGAAATATATCTCTATGTAAATTGAACTAAAATATACAGTAATAACAACAATAAGTTAATAACAATGTTAACAAAGGCTTAACTTATCTCTAAAAGAGATTTCTTCCAGTCAACCTAACACAGTGCCATAGGAAGTAGCGAGTGAGCAGTAGTAGTGCTAAACGGAAACTAAAATAAATATAAACATAAAGAACGTTTTTTAACAAAATAAATTTAATTGCAAGCATTTTTTAATAGTAATTTTTTTACAATACCACCGCCCATTTGTAACGCAATTTTAGCTAAAAAGAACGACCGAAAAACTCAACTATTTCTTTCTTCAACAATAGTTGATTTTACAATTTAAAATTTTTGTCAATACAGAGACTAGCAAACAGCACGGGACTTATTTAAATTATTAAACAAATCAAGTCTCTTATTGTAAATATTATATAGACTACTGTTAAGGAATATGATTCACTATGCCTCTGATATTTGCCAAGGAATCACAATTGCACATCAGATGTTTCATGGATTCCGTTTCCTCACCACACAATATACATTGTGAATCCAAAGACA